ACTTGCAGGACATCACTACACTTGGGGCAAACTTGGGCAGCTCTCTGCCCAGGATCACCTTTTTCTCTTTAACTTTCTCTGGGTGGTCTGAGGGGCTGTCACTCCAGGAAAGTTAATGATTACCATTTATGACCTAGGACTAATCAGTCAGACGGTCAAGTGAGTTCTGAATGAAGGTTATGCTTTTCCTTTAATAGTGTCTACTCTTTATCAGTTAGGAAACTCTTGGGTTTCCATAAGTCACATCATACTTAGAAGTAGAAAATTTCTGTTTGTTCTGAGTTGGACCTCAGCTACCTGCAAGGGGTTGAGAGGAGCCCTTAACCTGGGTGACAAGCAAGCTGCCCAGAGAAATAATTCAAATATTAACCTAGCAGGTGTACACACAAAGGGGGTAGGGGCACTGATTCATCCCTTTTTCTTTAGGAGGGCAGGGAAACAGGGAGAGATAGCAACAGGATTCTGATGCAAAAGCCTTTCTCTAAACTTACAAACCACCACCACCCCCTCCCAGAAGGAGGCCTCTCTCCTGTCACCCAGGTCTCCTCTCCAGAGATGAGACCTCATTGCACTGCTGAGCAAGGCACATCCTCCTGGCTGCCCACCTGCCAAGGCACATCCTCCCGACTGCCCTCCTGAGCTTCACCTGCCCATGTGTGTGCTGTAGGCTGGGAAACAACCACTATGCACTCTAGGATAAGATTCACAATAAAGTGAGGAAATAATAAATATAATAGTATTTAACATTTGCTGAGTGTTTACTGTGATCCAGACATCTTAATAAATTCTTTACTCCTACCAGTAGCCCTGGGCACCATTATTACAATTGCCATCTTCCCTGTGTGGAAACTGAACCTTCCGCTGCCTCAAGCCACCAACTGTCCACTTCTGAGAACTATCACTTTGCTGAGATGACATTCTTCTCAGATATTTGGTGTCAGATCTTTCTCTTGTGGAATGCTAGGAGCAATGAGGATACTCTTGCTGTCAGCCCCTCTTGATTTCTTGCACCCTTCCTACTTCCTGGCCACCCCGTAGTTAGGTCTGTAATACCTTCCTGGTAGATTTCCTGCATCCTGCTTTTTTCCTCTCACCCAGCCGGAATGCCCTTCATCAGGTACAGCTCTGATCCTTTTCCTCCCTGCTCAGAAACCTTCTAGGAATTCCTCTTCCCTCAGCTGGGATTCAGGGCTCTCCACATTCAGCCAATGCCAGTTTATCTCCCATTCTTGTCCTAGCAGAGGAGTTCCACTGTACAGCTAAATTGCTGTGACCAAACTAATAAGGCCACACTTCCTTTCTCTCTGCTTCCCCACCACCTCTGCCCCTGGCAATGCTGTCCACCCTCCTCATCCCTCCTGAGAGCTATGCCTTTAGTCACTCATTCAACAAACCTATTTTGAGCACCTCCTACGTACTGGCTATAGTTAGGTGGTGGGTTGCATGGAGCAAAGAACTAGATGAGCAATCACAAGTGGCATTATAAAAGGAAAGGGTCCCAGTGCCTAACCTGGGGGTGCTAACTATGGAGGAAGGGCCAAGGAAGGCCCCGCTGACACTATGAGACAGACACCCTTCTGACCCCTAGTTGGACATGTCCCATCTCCCACTTAATTCCTGAGACCTTTTATGACTTTGCTCCTAAAACAAGTCTCTCTCTCTCTCTTTTTTTTTTTTTTTTTTTTGGAGACAGAGTCTCAAGCTGTCACCCTGGGGAGAGTGCCGTGGCAGTGTCACACAGCTCACAGCAACCTCCACCTCCTGGGCTTAGGTTATTCTCTTCCCTCATCCCCCTAAGTAGCGGGGACTACAGGTGCCTGCCACAACGCCCGGCTATTTTTTTTGTTGCAGTTGTCATTGTTGTTTAGCTGGCCTAGGCTGGGTTCTAATTCTCCAGCCTCAGAGTATGTGGCTGGCATCATAACCACTGTGCTATGAGCGCCAAGCCCTCCCTTCCATCCTTCCTCCCTCCCTTTCCTTTCCTGACAGAGTCTCACTTTATTGCCCTCAGTAAAGTGCCATGGTGTCACAGCTCACAGCAACCTCAAACTCTTGGGCTTAAGCAATTCTCTTGCCTCAACTTCCCAAGTAGTTGGGACTACAGGCTCCTGCCACAAATGCTGGCTATCTTTTAGAGACAGGAGTGGGGTGGGAGTGAGGTGTGTCTCACTCAGGCTGGTCTTGAACTCATGAGCTGAGGCAGTCCACTTGCCTCAGCCTCCTGAGGGCTGGAATAATAGGTATGAACCACCCAGCCCTGTTTTTGTGTTTTTAGTAGAGACAGGGTCTTGTTCTTGCTCAGGCTGATCTGGACCTCCTGAGCTCTTAACCCACCTGCCTCTGACTCTCAGAGTGCTAAGATTACAGGTGTGAGCCATGGGGCCCAGCCCAAGATTATTTATCTTTTAAACCATGCAGACACAGTAGTGTGTGCTTACAGGTTGGGTTTGCTGCTGCCTGACTTCAGTGATATCATCTGAGTGGGTGGCCTTGCTCCTAGTCAGTCAGCAGTTTGTTCAATGAGCAGCTTGTCTCATAGAAAACTGAAGGTTATATCCCCAATTGTAATCAGAGGTTATCTTGCCAGATTGGGATACGTTTCAATAAATACTTTTTTCCACAACAAACTTGTGTTACCTTTATAATTAAAATTTTTAAATGTTCTTGAGGAAATTAAGCAAACCAAGAAAGCATTATTTACACCTTCCACTTGCACTTTTTGCCTTCTATGGAAGGGACCTATATTTAAAGGGGGGAAAAATAGTTATTTAGAGAAAACCTCTGAATCCTCAGTCCTGTGAAGCTCCATGAATAGGAAGAACTACAGGTGAATTTGCCCATCCAAGTGGCAAAGGTGAATTGTAAAGGCTTCAAAGCCTACATAAATTAACAGAGCAGTCCTGAGGGGGCTCTGCAAGCATGAGATAAACTCAAAACATTCATTATAGCAGAAAGCATCCCCACATACGAGGAAGACTGGCGAGATGGATGGGACTCAGAGACTGGAACCCTTCCCCCTACAGAGAGCTCAGGCCCGCCCCTGTGAAGGTTTGCCTGGCATGCTGGCTGGGTGACAGGAGAGGCAAGGGCCCTTGTCTTAGCCACTCTGAGCTCTTCACTCCCTGGAATAAATGAATCCTCCCGCTGCAGTACACTCATCTGTCTGGACCACTGGGCTCTGGCCAGCCCACAGCTGACCCACACAACCCTCTCCCAACACTCTGGGCTCCACACACCCACACCCACCTAGACCTCAGGCTAAGGAAAGGCAGTGAGCCTTTCCTGGATCCTTAGAGTGAAACCTCATCTTTCTCGGACATTCATCTTGACTCCCTAAAAAGTCAGTTCCCTGGGGCTCTGAGAGGGGGCAGCTCCTGGAATGAGACAGTTGCATGGAGGGGCTCTCACGCAGGAGCTGTGGGCTCCAGCTGAGGCATGTGTGCTGTCCAGAGTGGAAGCTAGTGGAAAATTCTAGAAGCCTTCACTTCTGCCCCCAGATATCCCACTTGTATCCTCTGCTAGTCAGTCTTTAGCTGCATATTTGTACTAAAAATAATTTGTTATCAGAAATGCAAGTTTAACTGGGCATCCTGTGTTATTTGCTAAATCTGGCAGAACCAGCAGCAGAGATCACCCAATTTTCTGCACACTCCTACCCAGGAGCCCAGGCGGGGGTGATGTCCAGAGCATGGCAGGAGAGAGCCCTTGGGCAGCCCTTGAGTCTCTGTTGTGTTCCCTGTCACTAACCCACAAGTCTTTCTTATCTGCCTGCCTCCCCCTCTCACTGCTAACACACTTGAATAAATAACAACCAGTGTAGAATGTGTGCTCCCAAAATGTCATGAAACAAGTTAAAAATACAACTACTGTGAGCCTGTATTTTTAGAAATACTTGTGCGGTCTAAATGAATGAGAAACATTTCCAGGTTCATTCCAGTAGGTAGGCATTTTGCTAGAAGTTCCAAGTCATTCTTTGTGGGTTTTTTTTGAGACAGAGTCTCACCATGTTGCCCTGGGTAGATTGTCGTGACATCACAGCTTATAGCAGCCTCAAACTCTTGGGCTTAAGCGATTTTCTTGCCTCAGCCTCCCAAATAGCTGGGACTACAGGCGACCGCCACAATGCCTAGCTATTTTTTTGTTGCAGTTGTCATTGTTTAGCTGGCCCGGGGGGTTCGAACCCACCAGCCTTGGTGCATGCGGTCAGCGCTGTAACCACAGTGCTACGGGTGCCAAGCCAAGTTCCAAGTCATAATATAGCTGGCAACATAAGCACACATTTTTGTTGTTGCTGAGGCACAGGAAATGTAAACTCATCCCTTTGGTGACCCTTAGCATCCTTTTAAAAACTATTGGCCAAATTTGTGGCATAGTCTGCACATTGGTAGACAGTAAGAAAAGTGATCTTGAGCCCTCCTGGGTCATCACCTTCCTACTTTGTTATTGAATCGGGTAAGAAGGACTTACAGTGAGTCAACATTAAAAAAATTTCATTTTTGTTTGGAGAAGTTGTATTTTTTTTTTGGAGATAGATTTTAACTATGTGCCCGGTAGAGTACTGTGACATCACAGCTCACAGCAACCTCCTACTCTTTGGGCTTAAGCGATTCTCTTGCCTCAGCCTCCCAAGTAGCTGGGATTACAAGTGCCCATCACAATGCCCGACTATTTTTTGGTTGTAGTTGTCATTGTCGTTTGGCTGGCCTGGGCTGGGTTCGAACGTGCCAGCTCCAGGGTATGTGGCTGGTGCCCTCACCACTGAGCTACAGGTGCTACGCCAGGGGAGTTGTATTTCTTAACCACTCTTTCTGAGGCAAGTGAACAGATGAATGAACTAGTGAATGAGAATATATGTCAGGTGTGTTATGTTAAGTGAGTTCTGCCCATCTTTTCTGCAGGAACTAAGGATTCCCCACTTCTCACTCATTGTGGCCTATAAGTGGAAAAACATTCTTCTTTATTATTTAAAAGGCTAAAAAATCGGATGTTCTGTTTTACAGCTATCACCAAGTCGAGGGAAGGAGCCAAGGCCTCCCTGCTGTTCCCACAGCCTTTGCCCAGGATCCTGGAAGCTGAGCATGCACCACTTTCCTCTCCTCAGGCCAGTGGGTACCAGCCTGCCTTGATGTCTTCACCAGCTCATCCTGGAGGACCACGCACTGAAAATGCAGTTGGCCCTCAGGTGACCCCTGCTGGGTCGAAGCTCCTCCCACCTCTTGCATTTAATCACACAGTTGGGCACATAATACTTTCTGAACATAAGGATGTCAAATTTAATTGCTCAATCAACGTGCCTAATATATATCAGGACACTACAATTTCTTGGTGGAAAGATGGGAAGGAATTGCTTGGGGCACATCATGCAGTTACGCAGTTTTATCCAGATGATGAAGTTACGGCGATCATCGCTTCCTTCAGGTACGTGTTCCTTCTTCCTTTCCCGTCCTTATGCTAGTGCTGCCTTGAAAGCAAAAGTAGCCGTTTGTTTTCTCTTAAGAAAGCTCTGGGGCGGCGCCTGTGCCTCAGTGGGTAGGGCGCTGGCCCCATATACTGAGGGTGGCGAGTTCAAACCCGGCCTGGGCCAAACTGCAACAAAAAATAGCCAGGTGTTGTGGCAGGCACCTGTAGTCCCAGCTACTTGGGAGACTGAGACAAGAGAATTGCCTAAGCCCAGGAGTTGGAGGTTGCGGTGAGCTGTGACGCTACGGTACTTTACCGAGGGTGACAAAGTGAGACTCTGTCTCTAAAGAAAAAGAAAGCTCTGGTCCCTTTAGAGCAGTGGTTCTCAACCTTCCTAATGCCATGGCCCTTTAATATAGTTCCTGTGGGTCGTGACCCACAGATTGAGAACCGCTGCTTTAGAGTGTAGGTGAATCCTGACTGTCTGTGTTGTTGACCTCTTAAACTGAGCTTGGCCCCATTGGAACAGCTGGTTAACAGATACTCTGTTAACAGCTACTTCCCACCTGACCTACAAGTCACATCAAGTACAGCAAGAACCAAGAGCTTTACCAGTGAGTGGGAATGGTGTTTCTCACAGCACATGAGAAAACATCAGAAACACCCAGTGGGTGTGGGGCTTTTAATGCTGGGCAGCCTCCCTCCCTTCATTCTCCTTATGGCCCAGCCTTCCACCTCTCCCCCGTCCTCCTGCCACTGAGAAGCATGGTACCGATGTAGCCCTCATGTGTACTGCAGTAGGGTAAGGTGGAGGAGGGTCTACAGTCTCAGGAAGGGTCTCAGCCACATGGGCCACCATCTCGGTATTCTACTTTGTTTTGCAAAAGCGAACTGGATGGGGGTGGGGGAGTGTGTCGGGGCTAAGCCAAGCCAGGACATGTATCTGGAATCCTCTGTTCTCCCGGAGATGCAGCCCTCAGTCTCAGCACGCTGTAGACCGGAGAGAGCTGCTTTTCTTCTCCCCACTCCTTTTGTATTCTCCACTCTTTCTTCTTAGCCAGGAGGATTTTTTTTTTTCTTTCTGTTTTTGTTTTTTGCATCAGGACTTGTTTACGTGTACAGTTTTAGAATTGGGTCAGCCTGTGGTTGTTAAAAGCTCAAAATGAGGTCAGAGCCACACAGAATGGAGTGAGAACCTTTTCTCTGTGATTCCTTTGCCCGGGAGTGGAGCCCCGTGTCCTGTTAGGTTTTTACTTTCTCTGTGTTCTGCCTTTTAGTGAATCATTTTGCAGAAAATGATTCCCTTTGCAGAAAACCTCCTTGCAGTTACCTCAGGCCTGAGGACACCAGTGAGAGTTCAATGTATCATCGCTTCCAAAAGATGGGTCTTTTTTTGCATCCCCACCTTCAGATTATAGGCATAGTCAGTGGATAACCCTTCAGCCTCAAGGCAAAGAATCCACCCTCCACGGTTTCCCTTGGTTGATGTAAGCTCTGGTCGGGTTTCCAGGGCTGTCATTCTCAGCCAGTGACTAACAGTACTCAGGAGATTTGAATATATTTTTTTCTGCATTGACTACAAAAAGCACATGTCTTACCATTATGTAGACATAGCTTCTGATGACAGAAGTAAATTCATCATTTAATAACGAGTTAATGAGGAATAGTTTAAAGGCTTAAAGGACAGAAAGCTGACACCAGGGTCTTATTGGTGTCACTTAGGAGGGGAGCACAGCCCTGCTCTGCTGTCTTTCTGGGCTTGGCAGGTGGGTAACCCTGGGGGAGCCGGGCATCTTCCCTCCTTCTTTCCAAAAAAAGAGGTAGGGATTGCCAGCTCCAGTTCTGCTCTAAGGTGCCATGAGATGTTCAGGGGACTTCAATTGGAGAGCTTTTAAGCTTAGTATCTTTTTTCAAACTTAGAATGGTCAGCGTCTTGTTTTGGACTTGTGCCTTTAGAGTTCAGAAGATGAGCTGGGTGATGGCTTGAGACCTTTAGAGTAGAATTTATTCTTTTGCATGTATTCAGCCTATTATACATAAACTCATTCTAAAGGAGAAGAATCTTATTTGACCTACAAACTACGCCTTAAAGCAAAGTTAGTGATCAAAGTATTTGTAAATGATGAACTTTTAGCTGAACTAGATAGCATATGGGATCTGCCTTTGTGCTATTCTTCAACTTTACTGAGGTCATAATGTTCAGGTATCACAGTAGCTGTGGTGGTTCAATGATAGAAACTTAACCAAGATTATAAGTATTGTATAATTTCTTGCAAGAGAGAAGGATGCTGGAGACCTTAAACTGGCTGACTCTCACATCTCCCGGGCCCTGCGGAAATCCACTCTTGTTGCTAGGAACAGTGAAGAATTAAAAATTCATTTTGGCTTTCAATGTATGTAAATTTGTTAGGAATTGATTTGCCTGAAATTTTGTCAAAGTTACCTTTAATCTCTAAGGATCATGTTTATTCAAGGGAGTGTGCTGATAAAATCACATAAAGGGAAGAGAATACAGAACATGGATGTCTGGATATTGTCAAGGGTCAGAAGAACTCTAGAGCAAAACACAGGGTATTTTGAATTAGGTCATGGAACCATTTTTCTATAAGGTGTTATTATCACATACAGAAATTCTTATGGGAACGGACAGAATTTACTTGAATTTTAAAAATGGGCTCGGAGCCTGTGGCTCAAGTGGCTAAGGCACCAGCCACATACACCTAAGGTGGCGGGTTTGAATCCAGCCCAGGCCCGCCAAACAACAATGACG